CTGCTAGTCAGTCTGTGACTTTGAGTTTTAATCTTGTGAAATCTCAGTATTTCCGTCCGTAAAATAAAAGAACTAAGTTAAGGCCCACGGCGTTATAATTCTGTGACTTAAGAACAGGTTTCATTTTGGTTCTTGGCCTAGTACTCTGGATCTTTAGCTCTTCACCCTTTGAAATTAGCCAGTTTTAAGTGTTTAGCTGTAATTGTGTGCTGTGAGTATACACGCATAAGCGTGCTGTAATAATGATAATCAGAGCGAACATCTGTTGTTCACCGTGTGCCAGGCACGTAGCTAAGTAGGAATGGTGGCCATCTGTGGAAGACATTATTTTTATCTTTCTCTGTCAGTGACCAGTAAGTCGTTTCTATGGCTACTCCCATTCTCCACCCCACCCCCTCCCCGGGCCCCTCTTGCCAAATGACTTTGAAGTGATTTTCTGTACGTGGGGACAAAGCAATGGCTGGGGTAAGGTTCCTTAACAAAGACCTTAATTAAACAATGAGGCAGAGGTGAACGTTTTGGCTCCAGCCATCATGTCTGAAGAGCTGGTGGCTGTTAGCCACAACACATGTGTATGCAACTACTTGTAAATATAAATGTTTTTCATTTTAGTGGGCTTTTGTCTAGAATTTTATAATAATGTTATGAAAAGTTTTATATTTCTGTTGGTTTTACATTTTGGTGGATACAAAGACATATTGAGGTATGTGCCTTGGAAACTATTTACATTAAGTACATAGGAATTTCCTCTGAGAAAATTTTTCCTGTGTTTCAAACTTTTGCTCAAACTTGTGGAATTGTATTTTGCTGTGGTAAGTCTTAAGCGAGAAGGATATTTGCTCCACTAAGTAGGTGGGCCATAAGTTATTGAGAAACAGACTTCAGAGAATCATTTTCATATGTCTTCAAGGGGTGCATTTCTCTCTCCTCCAGGGTCATTTCTCCTCTGGCATGTTGAATGGCAAGTCTCTCTGGACAAACGTCCCTGTGAATTTCCCAAAGAATGGCTGGGCTGCGATTGGAACTCACTTCTTCGAATTTGCACAATTTGACAACTTTTATGTGGAAGCCACAGGCTAATACAGAGCACCGTAGAACATTCTTGGGATTTTCTTTCTTGCTGTTTGGTTTTGGTTCAGAGCCAATTCTTGTTTTGATGGAGCAGTGTATGAGCCTTTTGGAGGCTAAAAATAATGAAGAGTAAATGAAGAGAAAAATATATTTTTGCTTGATCTGCTGGAAGAGTTTTTTAGAACTAATTCCAAGGGGAAGCAGATGAATCGTTACCATTACCTGAGTTGTCCCTTAAATTCAAACCATACATTGGTCCTCTCCTTGGAAGTGGTTTCCGTGGCTCAGACCTGAAGCCTTGGTGTTAATGCTGAGGTACCTCTTTTTCATCTTATTTGCAAGTGATCATGCAGATGGCAATAAGTTGATCGTCACTGAGATGTATTTATTAACGCTGACTGTGTGTTTGAGTGAGTTGATGTCCTTGTCTGAAGAAAACGCTGCCATGATAGGAAGCTGAAGAACACTGGAAGTGCTGCTTTTTGAAAACCATTTCAACGTGTTATCCTTAACCTCTAAAACATATTTTTTCTTTTCCTTTTTAAGATGATGCTTTTGAATATAGATACGATGATTTGAAAAATGCGTCATTAATAAACTACCTCTGAAACTATTTCTGCAATAATAAATATTAGCAGATTTAATTGGGTTATCTGCATTTTTTAATTCTTTTGGATCCAACTTTTACTCTTGTAACGCTTATAACTCTCTGAGAACATTTTCCCAGGTGGCTGGAAGGAGGAAGAAAATCCCACATAGCCAATGCTGTAAATGGGTCTAAAGTTAAATTGTCGCAATTTTCTTGTATGTCATTTCATTGTGCTTTTCCTGGTCTGTCTGCTCATGTGGTACTGGTAACAGACTAAAATAGCTAATGAATTCTTTTATTTCCTTGTGCGGGGAAGAAGGGGAACACTTAGCCTTTTGTTAGTTCATAGAATTGGGTCATCCTCTAATATTTTGTGTGGTTCCATGCATTTATTTCATTAAAGTATCAATATGTTTATATTTAAGTATGATAAGCATATTTCTCATGCAGTATAATTTGTATCTAAGGGTTAGTGGACCTCCTAGAAACAACTTAATTATTCATGTGGATAAAGTTAATTCTGGAATTCTTTATAATGAACTTCATTGAACTAATTCTTATATTTGGAATTTGTAATGGTTTAACATAGACTAAACTGACATGAAGTTTTGTATTGCTATTAAAGACAAGAAGCTAGATATTAGAATAAATCAGATTACAGAGAAAATTTTTAAATTAAAACCAAGTCGAAGTGATTTCCACTTCAGGTCTCTACATATTTTTTTAAAATTAACTTCATGGAGGTATAATTTACATACAATAAAATGTTCCCGTTTTAAGTGTACAGTTCAATGAGTCTTGAGAAATGCATATACCCATGTAACCAACACTCCAACCGAGATATCAAACATTTCCATCACCCCAGGAAGTTCTCTTGTACCCCTGTGCAGTCATTTCCTCTCCCCCCACCCACTCTGTCTCAGGCAACCATTGATCTGATTTCTATCACTATTGTAAGTTTTCTTTGTTTCAAAACATGTTAAAAGTGGCATCATACACTATGTACTCTTTCGTGAATGGTTCTTTCATTCAGCATAATGCTTTTGAGATTTGTCCGTGTTACTCTGTATGTCAGTGGTTTGCTCCTTATTTCAAAGAGTATTCCATTGTATGGATATACTACAATTTGTTCCCTCCAGTTTTTGGTATTACAAATAAAACTGTTATGAACATTTGTGTACCAATCTTTGTGTGGACATATGTTTTCATTTCTTCTGGGTAAATACCAAAGAGTGAAATGGCTGGACCTTTTGGGAAGTGTATGTTTTACTTTATAGGAAACTGCCAAAATGTTTTCCAAAATGATTGTATGATTTTGCACTCCCATCAGCAATGTTTGAGAGTTTCAGTTGCTCCACATTCTTGTCGGTGCTTCATATTGTTATTCTTTCTAATTTTAACTCTTTCTTGGGGATGTGTAGTAGGTGCATCAGATGTTCAGGATATTTTCATGGGCTTATTTGTCATTCGTATGTTTTCTTTTGTGAAGTGTCTGTTTAAATCTGTTGCTCATTTAAAAAATAGGGTTGTCGGTCGTATTATTGAGTTGTTGGAGCTCTTTATATGTTCCAGATGCAAGTTTCATTTTTTTAAAATCACGTATATGTTCTGCAAATTATTTTCTCCAAGTCTGTATCTTTTGAAGAGTACAAAAATTTAATTTGGAAGTCCAATTTATCATTTTTTCCATTTATGGTGGGTGTTTTTTTGTGTCCTAAGAAATCATTGTCTACCCCAAGTTCACAAGGATTTTCTCCTTTGTTTTCTTCTAGAAGGGTTATACTTTTAGCTTTTACATTCAGGCCTGTGATCTATGTTGTATTCCTTTTTATATGTGACAATGAGAGGTGAGGATTGAGGTTCATTTTTTTTTCCTGTATGGATATTCAGTTTTTCCAGCATCATTTGTTGAAAAAAGAACATTCTTTGTCAAAAATCAATTGATTATATATGTGTACATCCAGAAATAAATTCTCTATTCTGTTCTTTTGATCTATATGTCTATCTTTAGGCAAATAGTGCACTGTCTTCATTATTGAAGCTTGATAGTAAACTTTGAACTCAGTTTAAATGCTCTAATTTTGTTCTTCAAAATTGTTTTGACTAATCTAGGTCTTTTACATTTCCATATAAATTTTAGACTCACCTTATATATTTCTGCAAAGAGCTTTCTGAAGTTTTGATTGGGATTACGTTGAAATTACAGATAAATTTAGGGAGAATGGATATCTTAATAATATCGACCTTTCAATCCATGATCATGTTACATCTCCATGTTTTTAGGCTTTCCATAATTTCTCTCAGCAATTTATGTAGTTTTCAATGTACAGGTTTTGCATGTATTTTATTAAATTTATCCTTAAATATTTTATGTATATTTAATGCTATTGTAAATGGTGTTTTTTTTAATTTAATTTTTCAGCTATTTGTTGCACATATGTCGAAATACAGCTGCTTTTCTTATGTTGACCTGCAATGCTACTCCATTGCTAAATTCCCTTATTCTACTAGCTTTTTTTTTTGTAAATTCTTTAGGATTTTCTACATACACAGTAATGTCATCTGTGAGTACAGTTGGTTTTACTTCTTCCTTTCCAATGTGTCTGCTTTATTTCTGACATTGTTGCACTGGTCGGGACTTCCAGTACAATGTACGGAGGAAGTGGGAAGAGCAGATATCCTTGCCTTGTTCCTGATCTTAGGGGGAAAGTGTCTTTCGCCATTAAGTGTCACATTAGCTATGAAGTTTTTTGTAGATTTGCTTTATCTAGGGAAAGTTACCTTCTATTTCCAATTTGCTGAGAATTTTTATTATGAATAGAGGTTGAATTTGTTAAAGGCTTTTTCTATACCTAATGAGATAGTTATATGATTTTTCTCCTTTACTAAGTTGGTATATATTACATTGTTTGATTTTTAAATATTAAAACAACTTTGCATATCTAAGATATGTGATGACCACGTGGGGTTTATTATCCTGTTTATATATTAGCAGATTCATTTTGCCCTTATTTGATTAAGGGTTTTTGTGTCTATGCAGAATATTGGCCAAGTTGTTGTTCTTGTAATGTCTTTGTCTGGTTTTGATAACAGGATGATGCCTTGGAAAATCAGTTGGGAAGTGTTCCTTCCTCTCCTCTTTTATTTTCTGAAAGAGTTTGTGAGAGTCTTAAATTTTAGATAGAATTCACCAGTTGTATCAGGTCCAGTAGGGAGACAGAAGCCACACCAGGAAAAACTTAAAAAGTGTTATTAACTAGTAACAGGATTAACTACTAAGGGGTAAAGAGAACTTTAAAGAACACAGAAATAGCAGATATAGAGACTGGCTACTTCCTTGGCTGGGGCAGAGCACTCAAGGAAGGAGAAAATTTGGAAGAGGCTTCCTTACAAAGCTGAGACTCAGATCTTGTTGGAGATGGTGTGGCTGTGGCACTGGGAACGGCATAAAAGTTTGCTGACATCATGCCTGCTGGAGCTGGCAAGCGGGAAACTGCCTTCTGGGGTGTGTTTGAGATGCATTGGGAAGCTTCCTCCTGGGGTGCTGCTGAAACTCCCTAGAAAGTTAGCCTTTGTGGTGCTGGTGATACTCTCTGGGAAACCACCTGGGGTGTTGGTGGAAATCACTGGAGGGTAAGTACCACTGGTTGTTCCAGCCCTCACTGGAAGTAGTGCATCACTGGGTGTCCCACGTGGTGCTAGCAGCCACATATCACAGAAGCAAGAAGAAAAAAGCACACTGGAACAAGGACAAATAAGCTCCTTCCTCGTGCGATGTCCCTCCAGTACCCTCTAGGCTATCCGGCAAGAGAAATGTTTACAGGACTCAGATCTGGTATCACAAAGCAGGTCAAAGGAGAGGGATTGGGGGCTGAGGACCCTTAACAGAAATTCGGCTATTCTAGTTTTTAAATTTCTTGTGTCAGTTTTGGCAAATTGTGTCTTTCAAGGAATTTTTCCATTTCATATAAATTGTCTAATTTACTGGCATAAAGTTGTTTATAATATTACCTTATTTTAATGTCTGTAAGACATTCCTGATATGGCCAATTTGTGCTTTTTCTCTTTTAATCTTTATTAGTATAGTTAGACTTTTGTCAATT